ACACACACACACACACACACACACACACACACACACACACACACACACCACCCCCACCCAACCAGTTAATGTGTCACAACAAGACTGAGATCCTGGATACAAACCACTAAATTTTCCTCTTTAGAAATACAGGTAGTAGCTCCATTAGGATGAGGAGCTTGTAGTAGAGTCAGTCCTTCACCACATTCAAAGGAGTCAGCTGAGTTGGTTCAGACTTCTGAATAGATGGTTCTCAATGACGTCATCATCCGGGGCTTTTTTACCCTCTGCACCCTGTTCGTGGGCTAGCATTTAGCTTGTAGAGATAAAACCAGTATGGGAGAATCACAAAAGCAAGGGAGGAAAAAAATGCAAAACTGAACAGAAAACTGAAAGACGCAGATGAGTATAACCAGGATCATAATACGTTGTATTTAAAACGTGCCTTTCAGGACACTCAAGAATCCACTGGATAAAAAATCTAAATCAAGGTATTTAGTTATATTGAAAGTAATGATCCTAATGAGCTGCTGAAGTCTGCAGAGCCAACACGGAGGCTGTGTCAACATGACTCTGTGTGACTTTGTTTGATATTATTAGTAATTATGTCTTACATACTCCAAATGGGTACATACCACACAATACTGAGCTTTTTGTGATTATCTGATGCTGTCAGTGTGTGTAGATTGCATAATCACTTTTCTGTTTATAGCGCACAACCTTTTACATTTTCTAAGGTAATTAACATACTATGTGGTCACTAACCATGGTAGGAGTGATCTGAACACACTCTGGAATTCCGAGGAGGGTGAAATCTTTGTGGGTGATTATCGCCAGCCACAAAATCACGTCACTTTGCTGACAGTTCTACTTCTTCTTAGTGTTTTTGCACCGTCGTTTTTTTTTCAGAGTGTTTCTGCCACACGACCAGCACATTTTTGTAACCAACTCCAACGCAAACTTCCTCCTGCTAAAACTAATTATAATAGAAACATACTACATACACAATCTAGACTATATTAATTTCTGTGCTGTATTACCCCCTTTTCCGCATTCCTGCCCATGAATATGGCAATTTGATCATGTGATCTGCAGGTTGCTATATCATTTGAGAACCATCTATAGCAGGGGTGTCCAAACTATGGCTCGGGGGTACCGTTTTTTTTATTGGTCCGCAGCAAATTCTGAAAATATAATTGAATATGGCCCGCACAAGAATTTTTAGCTCAACTCCGTTGCACTTCTCAGTTTCAACACTAGATGAGCCAGCCACATATGGCCTGCACAAGCAGCTTGAGCTCAACTCTGTTGCACTTCTCAGTTTCAACACTGGTTGGAGCCAGCCACAGAAACGAAATTATAGAGAAGAAAATCAAAAAGAGGGCTTACAAAGCTGAGTTTCAACTGAAACTCATCAGACTGATGAAGTGTCTTGGAGGAGAGACGAAACGTTTCACTAAAGAAGAACCGATCCAGAGGACCTATTTATTTTTTCTTTTTGATTTTTTGTACCTGGATTACTGAGATGCATCAGGAAATATAGAGAAGAAGAGAAGAAGAACCTTTTTGTGACTGCGACACTGTTTGAGTCTTCTGAAATGGCAGCGCCAAAGAAACTAAAAATTGCGAGTGTAGGAGATTTCAAACATGGTGGGAAAATGAGTATTTTTTCAAAGAAATCAATGGAAAGTCTGTATGTTTGATTTGCAATGAAGATGAAGCTGTGATGAAAGAAGATAATGCCCGTCGGCATTATGAGACCGGCATTTTGTGCTAACAAAATACAGGAAAATGCCACAACAGCAAGTTATGAAGTCGCTAAACTTATTGCCCAGGACTGCAAACCGTTTTCAGATGGTGATTTCATAAAGCAGTGTTTCATCACTCTAACTTCACATAGGTGAGTTAGAAACACACATTATTGATGTATCAATATGTCACTTCTAGTGTGTGGCCCGGCCCTTTGTTTATTTTTCTGTATTTGGCCCTCACTAAAAAAAAGTTTGGACACTCCTGATCTATAGGATACCTCCATAACTCCTACCTCTGCAGGTTTTTCAGGTGCATTATTTTGGGAGGAGACCCTGAGGCAGAATCAGAACTCACTGAAAGGAAGAACAGTTATCCTCTCTGGCATCWGAATTCCTCAGGATCCAGGAGGAGCGAAAGTGTTGCTGGGGAGAGGGATGATGGGTTTACCTTCGGGAACTGTTCCCTCCAAAATCTGACCAAAGGTAGGTGGGGAGGGATGGATAGCAAGCAGGGATTTTCAGAATATATCAGACTAAAAGACACAAGGCTAAGAAAAAAAATCAGTAAAATATTTTAATGGTTTGGTGATTTATTGAAAAAAAATGTAACAGTGTCCTGATACACTGTCTAAAATAAAATATTGTGTAAGCACAAAATATCTAGAAACCCTTCAATAAAAAGTTKGTGCAATCAACAGCAATCAACATGAAATACATAGTACATTTTATCTTTTTATTTCAGTTTTATGTTCAATTTTGAGGGAAACACTTTTATGTCTTTCTCATTACTCTTAGAAAATAATCCAAGTAGTAGAACATAACAAAAAAGATCACTGCAATGATATTTTATGTACATAACTTAAATTCTTATCTTCAAAGAAAAGTGCACTGTGAGGCTACAAGATACTGTATTTAGAAATATAGCTCAATAATTTATKAATTTAATGCAATACTTTTCTCACTGGACTGAGTAACACACTTTCACTTATAAGTTTACTATTTATTTCTTACAATCATCCTTATAATATATTTGTAATAAAACTGTACATGATGAACTGACTGCATTGAAAGTGATTTCACTTCTGGTCTAGAAAATATTAAAGCAAACTAAGAAGAGTTCTTCAAAAGAAAGTGMGACTTCAGATAATATAATTAAGTTGTGTTTATGTACATTATACACACTCTGAACAGGTTACATAATGCACAGGATAAAAGGGTATATTAACTATTGGCTACATAAAGATCTGGGACAATATGGCTTTGTAAATAGACGTTGCAATAAATGTCAAGTTCAGTCTTCAGAAAAAGCMAGTCATACGACTTTAGTTCAGCATTGTACTCATCTCTAAAATGTTATATAATTTTAATGCTAAGTTTAACTGCAATAAGTCTTACATTTGTGGATATAAAGACCTCCTAGACAATGAAACACATAGAAACTGCAAGACAGACTTCTATTGACTGCATAGGCCATACTATAAAGCATAAGTAAGTGTCTCTATTTGCTTAGCAGCGTTTTAAGTGAGCGTGTAAGTGCRTTAGCAATGGCTGACATTGTACTGGAGTGGCGGACCAGGGCCTTAACACTGTGCTCCCCTGGTGCTCCTACGGTGGCAGCTTCAGCAGCCTTCAGCAAACAGATATAGTTCATAACAACTTCGTCAACCTTTGCTACAACGTCTCTTTGTTGGTGTATGGCCGAGGCTCCAAGTCCCCTAACCAGACACATGCAAGCTTCACACAAACAGCATAGCACCTGAAAGCTACACGTTACAGCAAGCAGCATTTCTTCTGGACTACTGTGGGCCTGTGCCATTCTTCGGCATGCCCGGCCTAACTCTTTYGACTCCACAGACAGGAGCTGCTTGTACTGAGATACATCCTGGATAGGCATCTGGATTCCCCGATCACATCGGCCTATGCTGGATCTCACCAGTGCAATGAGCTCATTAGCGTCACGACGGACATCATTGAAGCCAGAAGGAAAGGCATACATGCGGTCCTTGAGAGCATTGATTCGTGCCAGGCGGTCGCTAAAGCTCATGTTATTGAGGACTTCTCCATACAGTTGCTCTCCTGCAGCATCCATTATTGAACCACAGGGGGACAGAGAAGGTGCGACTGCACCATTATTGTCAATACTGACCCCACCACGAATTCCTCTGGGTCTCTCCCACTCAATCTCATCCTCTTCACCTTCACTCTTACGTTTAAAGAAACAGTAGCTAAAGGGCCCGTTGCATCTCCAGGGACTAGTGTCCAATTTTTGAGAGCCCTTCATGTGTTTGGAGTCTTTCTGTAATGGAAAGGCAACAGATGCCCTTCTACTGTCTACGCCACTGGACCAGCATGTGGTGTGGGAAGACACAGATCCTTGGGAGTAGCTCTTGGAGAGACGTTTCCTCGCTGGTCTCCGTTGGACTTTGGTGTCACCCTGTTGGGACATAGGTGCTGATAAGGGCTGCTGGCTCCGGCTGCGTGTGGGCTTATCAAACAGAACTTCCACACTTCCAGAACTGGCAGTCACATTGCTTGAGCTGCGTTTGAGCTCCCTGCCCCGTTGTATGCTGCAGCTGAAGGGATCTGTTTGCAACAGGGTTGGTGTAACAGACTGAATGTGGTTCTGCCTAAACTGGCTGGAATGAAGGGAATCTTGCGGGCATCCTGAGTTGCTGGAGCTAGAGTTTGCTTGTGTGGGGAGAGACGAAGGAGGTGGAGGAGGTGGTGGGGGTGGTGGTGGTGGAGGGGGATATTGTGCATTAGGTACTGGCGATGAAACATTTGCTCTAGTGCTACTCGATGACTGCCTGACAAAAGCTGATGGGTGATCTCCCCTTCCTAGTGAGATGGCACAGAGGTCCACACGCTGGCCACTCAAACTGGGAGCAGCAGAGATACAAAGAGAATCATTGGGACGGGGATGAGACTGATGCACTGACCTTGGGTCTGATTTGAACCAGTCTTCTGTGCTGCTACTTGGTTGGCTTCTGGACCTCGGTGGGGGCCTATAATTTGTACCTCCAAAGTTTCGAGTTGAATTCAATGCCCCATCTCTGGTATTACAGTCCTGTTTTCTACAGAGTGACAGAAAGTGCTCTGGATCCATATCGCTTCCACTAAGTTCATTTTCTAGACCCGAAAATGAGCTCCTCCTCTCAGAGGTTACTCTCCTGAAATCTAAACCCTCAYTCTGCCTCTGAGCATGCGTATCAGGACTTCTCTTGAGTTTAGCAGGAAGTGTGGCTGAGTGGTATGACTGTGAATTTTTAGATGCCCCCTGCGGGGTGGCTGAGTGAGGAGTTACAATATTAGGGCTGACGAATGGAGATGATGTAGTTGAGGGCGTACACTGACAGCGAGCAATTGTGTTTCCCCTATTTTTAACCATTTCAACAAGCTGAGGGTTGCTGGTGATAAAGCGTCTAGTGTCTTTTTTCACTGCCCCTCCCATTCCAGCACTGTGGAGTTTTCCTCCCTGATGCATCTGGCTCACTGTTAAATAGTTAATCAGTTGTCTGTAGGCCTCGCTACCTTCTTTTGGGTTAAGTCCCTTAAAGCAGGCCTGTTGTTTAGCATGCAAGTCATTGTGTAGCTTCTTATTTCCAATGCCTGCCATTTCTTTGTGCTTAGATGGGGTAGCTGAGGAGGGTCGGTTTGATTCCACCCCAGCAAGAGGAGGGTGAATGTTAGGCAGCATTTTTCGAAGTAATGCAGGGTCTGCATGTGGATGGAKGTCTTTGCCCTGAGTGCTCTGGCCAGGGAAACCAACTGGGATTCCAGATTTGCTATCCTCATAGTTTAGTGCTCTGAGTAGTGAAGAAGAGGAGCTAGAAAGTGGGTGCTTTTGCAATCGAGGGTGTTTTGACTGCACTGCACCAGGACCGAGGGGAGAGTCAGTTGGTGTGGCACACGCACTACTGTTCGTGCTACCACCCGCATCCAGAGATGAGCACAGAGAGCCCTGCAGAGAACTGTGGGCTTCTCCTTGCAAATTTGAGATCCTTTTGGCTAAATGGTACTCACACAACCGTGCAACGCTCTGTTGTCTTGAAATTGTCTGATGGTCACTTTGTATATCAGATCCCTGGTCAGATGATCTAGATTTTCTGGCAGGGGACAGCAACGATGCCACAACTAAATGTTCATCCTGCTCAACAGCTGCAGCACCACTGTCCAATGCGCAGTCCCCTATGTTGCCCACATCCAAGAAGCGGTCTGAAACGATGGAAGAAGGGCGTACATTTCTGCAATGATCACGAGGGAGGCTGTTTACTCCTGTGATCTCAGTTGTCGCATTTTCAGCCACAAAAGAGTTCTGTCTTCTTTGGTTTTCATTTTGCTCAGAGAACGTTGAATGCTGGTTCAAGTCAAGATAGCTCTGCCTGCTACTGCTCTCACCTCGGTGTACTTCCCTCGTGCTGAAGGTGTTGTACTTGCCACTGGAGTCTGCAGACTTTTTATGATGCTTGAGTCCTAGCGTGGTAGAACTTGGACGCTGGAGAGTAAGTGAAAGACTCGTCTGTGGCTTCACCTCCAATCTGTCTTGCACTGACGGTGTGGTGTCTAACTGTGGGCTACGCCTTGGAGGTACTGCTGGAGGCTGAAGATGTTGTGTTGGACTATGGGCTTTTTTATTCATTGTGCTGCACGCATTGGGTGAGACCGGAAATTCTGTTTTCTCCTCAAGTAGTGGTTGATATCCTTCCCTCGTGGCCACCAATAAACGCATGTGGCTTTCGTTGAGCCTGTGAGAAGCAGCGAGTTCACAGATTTCGGTCATTTCTGAAGAGTTGGTCTCGTTACCAGAATCTGAGGATGACTCTGGGCTGAAACCTTGAGATGTGTAAACACCTAAAAGATAAGAGAAATACAGATAAATATCATTTACCACAAGTTGATATTTAAACACAAAGCAGGGCTACATTTGAGGTCAAATACTCATTTTTGGCAGTACTGATACCAAAAGTGCCATTTTTGCCTTTTCTAAATGACACACTTTCTTCTGACTTTCCGACTTTTTTGTGCATGTAGGTCAACAGTCAAACAGTCAAGCTGCTTAACAACATTTAATCCATATTCACAACCTTATTTATTATATAACACTGTTCTGAGTCAGATATGGTCTGTTTAGAACAAATATGTTTAACAGGAATGTAGTCAAAAATACAACAGTWTTGTGGAAAAGTGATTTTATTGTAGGTGCTGCTTCCAGAATTTGTGTCGGTTCTCTTCAAACTTTCAGTAGGACCATCAGCACATGTACCATTTACCATCAGTATATTGAAACAGATGGTCTGGAGCCCCAATTATTCAAAATTATGTGTTTTTATTTGTTACTTTTCTGATTAAAGTATTAATGTAGAATTCAGTAAATTTCTTAGTATCTGTATCAGTTCTAGTGTTGTGATATTACCTACAATTATATATGCACCTGAACATGAAAGATTAAAAATAGTATTTCTTTAGACAGGAGAGATTAAAAATATCAAAGCTAGTGTCAAATTGCTGATATAAATCACCTATACTACTTACAAAAAATAGGGAAATTTGCTGGGATTTTGTTGATTAATTGTAAGGTATTGGCTTGATCTCATAATGTCAAAATGTGAACAGCATGATGAGGAGGACTGTTTAATTGATTTATTTATTTTATTTGAATCAGTAAATTTATTAGTGGATTCATGCTGTGAATTTTGCCATTTGGCTCCTTGTTAGAGAACAGCAAGTTGTGCAAAGAGTACTGAAACAGTGAAAAGTCTGACATCAGTATTCAAATGTTTAGAGAGGGTCACATTAGGTTCACCAGTAAAGGCTATACTGCATTTTARGTTCATTCTGAAATTTCACCTGAAAGCCAAAACTGACCTGTATTGTTACTGTTGGGAGGTGGTGGGGGAGGTCTTTGTTCAGACACAGAAAGATCCTCCAGTGCTTGTAGCGTATTCATGACGGCATTCTCCAGTCCCCTCTCACCCCCTCCGCTCCCTTCTCCCTCCCCGTGTGTTGGCACAGCATCGATTAATGACACCGGTATATCGTCGTTATCGCTTGTGCTCAGAGGCCGTCCTTCTGGAGCAGTGTCCTCGTCTGAGCTGTCCCGAAAGCCGGGTGGTGGAGCTGCAATCGCTAGGTTCAAAGTCTGCAGCAAAGTGTCGTCCTCATCCTCATCGACGCTGTCGTCTCCTTCAGGAGGGGGCAGTGATGTTAGGTCGATGATGTCATCAGTGGAACCAGATAGAGTCAGGAAACTAGCTTTGCCTCTTTGGTTGTCACAGCCTGCATCGCCAATTTGGGCATTATCGCCTACCGGTGTGCCCCCTGTGGAGTCTTCCTCACAGGACACGTCATCATCATCCTCTGCGTCGTCAGGTGTATCACGATAAAACAGATCTCTTAGCAGAGGTTCCTCACTGCCTTCCTCAGTAATGATGTTGCTGTAGACATGTGTTAAGTCGTTGAACTGGAAGGGTTCCGATGACTCCGGGCTCTCTGGCACTATGTCATAGTTCTTAGGTCTGTTCAGAGGTGGGTTCCCCCCAAAAATGAATGACACTTTGGCACTCCGAGGCGAATCTTGAATTTTGTGTCGAGTTGCGGGGGGAAGTGGCGGGGGCAATGGACTTCTCCTTGTCCCAAGGTCACTTTCCATGTTTTGGGAATTAGGGAAATAAGGACTAATGCTGTTTTCCCTCTGCTCGTTGTCTGAGTAGCCTCTGTTGTATATTTCACACTGCGCTRGCTCCTCATTGTTCTCCGAGGAGGTGCTGTATGGCCACTCCAGGACACGCTCCTGACCTGAAGATAGCAGCAAGCAAGCTTGTTTTTAAGGGTTTCATATTTTAGTTTGATAAAAAAAATTTAAAGCAGCTTCTCTATGTTCACATGAACTACTGAGTGCTCTGCTGCCAGATTTTATGCTTCACAGTCAAACATCAATTTTTAAGTTTTCAATCTCAATTTTGGGTGTTATTTTGCCAGCCTGTAAGAAAACATGAGTTTTATACTGTTTTATATGAAGTATTTTGCCAGAAAAAACACTTTTGAAACTTTATGCCAGTAAACTCTTTTTTAAATGATCAGCAAATGTGTGATATATACTATCTTTGTAACTCACCACCATCATCCTCTCCTGTGCTGTTGCAGTGGGACACATTAAAAATAGATCTCCGTGAGTCCACTAGGAGGCGATAGTAGCCTGCTGTTAGACAAGCAAGGTTCATGGCATCGCTTGCCTCCATGATCAGCGTAATGGGCTGACAAAGCAAAAGGGGAGAGGATTGAAACATGAGTTGATAAAAAAAAAAGACTGCTTTCAGGCATTTTATTCTTCAAAGGCAGTCATACTCACTCGAACATCCAGAACGTGAAGCTCCAGCCGGACTCTGGTTTCGTCCTCGGTGAGGATCTCGATGCGGTTGACGTGGCTGAAGTCTGCCAACAGGGCCACGAGGTTGGTCCGGGCGTTGATGAYGTGACTGATTCCATAACGAGGACCCACCAACAGCATCACCTCAGTCTGTTTCTCACCTTGCTGCAACAAAAGGAGTCCACGAAAAGCATTGAAATTTTATTCCCAAATGAACTTGTCATTGACGACGTTTAGGTCTTACCAAAAGTATTGACTTGAACTCTCTTCCTCCATACAGTTTGAGCTCACTGATGTACCTCAGGTAATGCACCTTGGCCTGCAACGCAGTCAGCTGTGAGGAGAAAGGTGAAACATGTGCACAGTTATTCAGAAATGCACTCACCCCGGACTGAGGAGCAGCATTAGAAGCTTCCAGTCTCAGYATGCGAAGCACTCTCAAGTCATTTTGATGTGGACCACTGATTTTCCATTAAACCTCATCATATCATTTCAGTCTAATCCACTGCAGCACTCCTTATATCTCACTTGTAGATAAGCTGGACTCTCCAGTGGTCAGCAGTTTTTATCAGACCTTCAAACTACCAAACACTTCCTAAAATCAGATTTACTCCAGTCAACAAAATTTGTATAAATGTTTACTGTTCATTTTTTAAATTCAAATAAACAAAATTTATTACTGCGAGCATGATGTTTTGGTGTGTTGAAGCTCATCAAAATTCCGACATCTGCTGTGATAGATTAGATCGGCCACAATGTGTATCTAATTTTGTTCTTGATGAATATTGTAAACATTTATTTGCAGTGCATGCTTAGTGCCTTGCAGACAATAACACATAAGGCTGTGTTACCATTTCATTTCAAACTAATTAAAACCTCAGAAACAAGTTGAAATTTTGGTGTCATCTACAGACATGGTGTGAATATCCAGGATAAAATCATAAAAAGAGCCGCACACAATTTATGCAGCTATGATTCAGGCATAAATTGGTGCTAGATAGTGCATTTAAAATCTCATCCAGATTTATTACAAAGACAAATATTCACTTTTGTTGTGAATAAAATGTTGGGCACATTTTGTTGTTCTTTTCTTTGTTATAATTATTGGGATATACATATAGCTTGTTCATGTATAGAATTACACATTTTCTTTGAGAATTTTTCTGCACAAGTAAAACTCAAAAATTATATAGTATTTTTCTACAGGTCTTACAAAACAGAAAAAAAAAMCCAAATGAAACAAACAGAATTAAAATTTTTTAGAGAAATAAACAGGAAGCAGTATTGTTCTATAAACTTGTAAATATTTCAGGTGGATGCATAAAAACATTTTTGTCCCTATAATTTTCTTGCTATTAATGACCTATTCTGTTTTTCCTGGAATTCATTTCATGGATAGATTGTATAAAATTTTCAAATTCACAAAATATTCCAAAACTACAAAATCATATGCACAAAACTAAGTATAACTAGCCAAAACCACAGTAGTGTCATSACCAGGATTTTCTTTTTATTCACTATGACAGAATTCTGAAACAAACACTGCCCGTCCAAAAACAAAAGTCGCCATCAAAAAAAAAAAAAAAAGGTCACACTCTAATATTTTGTTGGACCACCTTTAGCTTTGATTATGGCACACATTCACTGTGGCATTGTTTGGATAAGCTTCTGCAGTGCCACAAGAATTATTTCCATCCAGTGTTGCATTAAGTTTTCACCAAGATCTTGCACTGCTGATGGTAGAGTCTGACCGCTGCACAAAGCCTTCTCCAGCACATCCCAAAGRTTCTCAATGGACTCTGTGGAACCAATCCATTTGTGAAAGTGATGTCTCATGCTCCCTGAACCACTCTTTCACAATTCCAGCCCGATGAATCCTTGCATTGTCATCTTGGAATATGGCCGTGCCATCAGGGAAGAAAAAATACATTGATGGAATAACTTGGTCATTCGGTRTWTYCAGCTGACCTCATTCTTTGAGCACAAACTGTTGTTGAACCTAGACCTGACCAACTGCAGCAACACCAGATCATAGACCTTAGTTAAACCCAGGTGGAAACTTATTTTYTTGGCCAGGGAGTGTATTTTCATATTTAAATTAACCAGATTGATATCCACAGACCAGTGGTTGAACCTAAATCTAATCTCACTCTTAACTTAACAGCTAATTTCAGAGCCTCACATCATTTTTACGCTCAAAAAGACGTGCAACATTTGACTGTTTAAACGAATTAATCATTTTCCTCCTTTTTAAAGCTTGGATTATTTAATCAATTTGGAGGATTTTAAAATACATTGATGCTTACTGAAACATGGAATTAATTATTAATAATCAATTAATTTAGCAACTTCCATATTATTAAAAGTTAAATATGTGACATCATCTTTTTTGAAACTACTATTAAAATGAATATCATCAATTAAAATTTCCAGGACTCTATGTCGTATTCCAATGCATTTTATAAAGTAAAGTTTTAAAAAAGCACATACATATAAAGCAATTTCTAAAAATAAATAAATAAATATATAAAATAAAACTGTTTGAAATATGGCATGCTGTCAGGTTGCATTCTGTTGGTAAAAATATTGAGTTAAAAAGGTGAATTAATTGTTTTTTACATGTTCAATTGAGATTTCATCTAATTTCCATTTTAAACATGTACTATGTACAGTATGCTGCAAAAAATACAATTTGTCAAACTCAAATTAAATTTGACTCACCTAAATGTTTGAACGACGAATTAACTGAAGCCTTTGCATGAGTAAGTTAAAACTAAACTTGTTTGTTTTGAACATGTCAAAGTCAGGAACAGTGTCGTGAAGGAGACCATCTGGAGCACTGCGCCACTAAAACAGTTTGAAATGGAGCTGAAAGCTTTGGCCCTGACTTGGGTGACCCAGCTCTTATCTGGATGTGTGTGTGTGAATRTGAATACCTCATTATGCAGAAACTATGACAATGCGTGTAGCTTCTTATTCACATTAGCATTCAAGGTCTAGTTTGGCAAAGGGTCGTAGGTTGACAAGGGTGAGAACCTTTGCAACGCTTGCAGTGGTGCCATTTTGGAATATTGCTATCATAAGATGTGATGTGTTTGTGTGTCTGGGAGGACTATTAACAAGGACAAAGAAAGACGAAGACAAGCGGTTACTTTTTTCCCCGGAGGCACAAGGTTCTGGTTGGTTTTAAGGATGTGCGTCAGAGCCTTCTTGATGTTTTTCTCCTTCATGCTGGACAGCACAGTTGGAGGCAGGAACAGCGGCAGACCCCACTCCTTTCTGTTGAGAGGACATTGATTTTAGAGTCAAGACACCCTTGAGGAAAAGGTGATTTTTTTTATCTGACACAGGTTAAATACTTGCAATAAAATATCATTTAATATAAAATGGATCAGTGACAGAACATAACACTAAAAAGACTGAAGGACAGCGTTTTCTGTTGAAAGTCAGTCACATTTTTACATCACATCATATTAAAAGTGTCTCAGACGCACAAAACTGTGTTCATTCACCAACTTACTGGATATATTTGAGAGAAACCTTCTGACTCTGTCTGGTCGTCATGGAGATGATGTACATCTGCAGAGCGGCCAATCGCAGTGCAGCGTCGTACTTCAGCTCCGGGCCGAAGCGCTCCAAAACCACATCGTTACAACTCTGCGACAAAGCAGGACAAAAAGAAATGTGAAGTGCATTTCCTGTCTCCACAGAGTAAAGCAGCAGTGGTAGATCCCAATTGAATGGAAATACTTTTTTTTTCTTTTTATCCTTTGTGATTTCAGATCCTCTCAAAGTTTCCAATCTTAGATGAAAGATGCGGAAGCACAGACTGCTGAACTGTGGCAAGAAAGGATGATTCCTGTTCCTTCTGTCAGGCTATTTTACTTAAAGAATTATCAAAGGAAATTCTTTAGACTTCAAACAAGAGCTTATCAAATGCATGTTGTTTTATTATTTATTGATTTTTTTAACAATGCACATAACTTGTATTTCATTTTGTAACATTTTGCTTACTTGGACATAGAGGTATTCAAATGCCACAGGGTCCCTCCGGAGCAGCTCCACTGGGTCTCTGGGCATGAAGCTGATACGAAAAAAACACTTCATCTTGTTCGAACTGGGCCTCTGGGTCACCTGGGTTTGACAGCAGTGGATGAAAGTGAAAAAAAAAAACTCATGCAGAAGGTGAATAAAGCAGAAATGCTGGAAATTTGCATGCACTTCTTGCACGTTTTCTGTTGTTTCTAACCACAAAACCTTCCCTCTATGTTGTCTATGAACCGTTAACTATGCATAAATGTGTTAATTGTGGGAGGAGAACTTTTGTTCTTAGGCACAAGCCGTTCTTGTAAAAYGTTCTTTTTTATGCAGACCTGCGATTCACAGCTTTAAGGCTGAGTCACACTACAAGATTTTAAAACAGTCGGCCAATTTTCAAAGACTGATAGAGCCCACACATGAGGATAAAAAATCATGGATRTACCAAGTTTGGCCCTACAGTGTGATGTACAGTCACATGACAAGAAACAACACACCACACACCAAAATATATTTCATTCATGAACTGTTAGATATTAAATCACGCGAGACTTCCTGAAATCTCGCGAGAATTCAGATGTCCGGGGAAAAAATCTCACGTGACCTCCAGAGAGATGTGAGTTCAGAGTAAATAAACATTTGCAACCAGGAAGAAACAATGTTGATCGTTTGTGGACTATTTTTGCCAGAGGAAAAACAATTCCATAGGACTTTTAACATCCAGCRGACTTTCTGGTGAGTCATGACAGTTTKTGTTTATGTCACCTCGCTTTCTGATTGGCTACACGACTCATTCACAGGCTGAGAGCTCGGTTGAACACTACACTCACTGATATCGGGCCAAAAAATCAAACATGTTGAATATCCCCGATTTGAGGTCGGAGCGTTCCCGACATCCTTCTGAGCTGACTAGATCACTCTTAACTCACCACCTTCAGCGGGAATATCTGCTATGATTATCTTTAGAGCCGTCACGATAATCTGGACTTCCTTAAGATTGTCGGAAGGGCAAAAATCGGCATGATTATCTTTCAGTGTGACGCCGGCCTTATGGGTCACTCCTGGACATCTGAACCAATTCCTTTTCATCTTAGAGTGACAGCTTGTGCTTTTATTCTCAGATCATACCAAAGTGACTTTACTTTTCAGTCATTTGCACATGCTTGTTTTTGCGACCGTGTTTACACAAGGCCTGTTCATCCGTTCACCCCCATGTTTGTCATGTGTGTCTTTCTCCTAAACGGAGTGTTCTTAACTGCATTTTCATTCTGCATTGCATCTTTGATGTTGTGTGTGAATGGCAATGAAGCTGATTCTGATTCTGAGAGGATGATCTCAGAGATGTTTAGAAATGCCTTGGAGAGACCTGAGTAAGTCTGTTAGTTCTGTGAATGTAAACTTTCACCAAGTCCTGTCTGCCTGCCAACATGTGTTGCTGAATGCATGTTTACTTCGACAAACATGCAAGAACCACCCATCTGCTTCGCTACAGCTCACCTTTTTAAAGTCTGCTATCCTGTTCAGAGCCTGACCAGCAATCGTCATTTATGGCCTTGTCAGCATTTCAACTTGGAGAACTCAGATTTAGATCACCCATAATGGTCAAAGAGTATGTTTGTTTTGTAAAAAACACAAGTTAAAATTATGAACAATAAATATTAGACCTGTTGATGGTCATGGAATTTCCTCAGTTTGGAGAAACAGTGTAAATCTAACTGGACTGATGGGCTAATGGATAGTGGGACCAAGACCAAAGAAGACTGCTGTCCTCTTGTGTTTCTCTAATGTGTTTATTTATAGACTTGTACACCCCAATCAGTTTCAAATTGCACAGATATACTAATAGAAGTATTTCAATATCCCTGATGTACTGTATGTATACAGAGATGTAAATAAAATACATACAAGTCCAAGGACAACATGTGCTCTTATCCAACAAAGAATAGATCATATCAGACAAGAATGAGACAGCATTCCCCTTCAAAAACTCCAGCAAGTGGGGTTCTCAGTTTCCACACATTTACAGACTGTTTTTTTTCTTTTTTCAAAATAAGGGTACACTTRACAGTGTGAAACGTGGAGCTGTTCTGTCTATTTTTTTTATAGATGTACTGCCACCAAATTCAAAATTACCATGCTTTTTATATTTTTTGGGTTTGTTTGTTTCATCATTTGGTATTGTAACAGGTAATGGGAATGGACTTCCTGTTATTTCCCAGAATGCTTTGTGTTATTTTTTAGATTTTCTGTGGCACCATGAGTGAGATGGAAGTGTGTTGTATAGACCTGCCTCTTTTGTGCTATTAAAGTTGGTTATTCTGCTGTTCAACTGTGATGTGATGAATTCTTTGATTCTAACCCACACGGTGACAGTATGTTTAATATGTCTGAAATAAGATGGGTTTGTAAGATTCACAAACCATTCCAATCACACCACACCACACCACAAATCACTGAACTGGAGTGAAGAAGATGAATGAGTTTCAACTCCTACCTACAAAAGGTAAGAAATTAATAGTTCATAACCTTTCCATAGAATCCCAGTTCAAAATGTATCTTTCTCTTGAATGCCTCCACATCCTTGTAAATTCAAATTTACACTATTTTAGAAATGAGGTATGCCTGTTGATAGGGTAGTGTTTGTTTAAATCCCTATAAATAGGCAACCGCTGGTGATACATAGGTAGTTCTACCAATGGGAGCTTTAAAATTCAAGAGCACATTACTGGTTTTCAAACCACTTGACAGTTTAAACATGGCATCAAGACAAGACCGTGGATTATATAATAATAATGACAAATTATTGAACATCAATATGTTGATAGACTAGAAACTATTGGTTTTCCCATTTTAGGAACCTGCTTTCCTTTATTTGAAGAAACTCCGGTCAGTCTCTGTGGTTTTTCAGCCCTCTCATTGCTCCGTCACTGTACGTGCCGCATGCACAGCTTCGCTTCTGAACTGTGTGCAATGAATACCAAAACTGCCCTTATGTGATCCGGGAATCTCATTACAATGTCGCTCTGGATCAGTGTGCACGTGCTGTTTGTGCAACTGTGTGTGCGCACAAGTGTGTGTAAAGAAGTGGTGTAATGTGAACTGTCACCCCTGCTGAGCCAGTGCTGATAAATGACATTGGGGTCTAAGTGCTGTGTGAATACTGAGCAGAACTGTGTGTGTCTGTGTGAAGAGACAAAGAGGAAGAAAGAGGAGGGAAAAAGAGAAAGGTCCCCCACCTGAGTAAGCATCTCCTGTTCATGCAGGAGAAGCAGTTTACTTCCAGAGCCTTCAGTCTTCTCTTCCAACACCAGGGAGAAGTGCTCGATGCATCGAAGCGACAGCTTCTCCTGCAGGGTCAGGATCACTTCCTAAAAGCAGAAGACAAAAACTTTTKTGGAATGGTAAATCATTTTTAGTCAAACATTGCCTAATTACCTTTAATATGTTTGTGTATTCTGAAATACTTCAAATTTGGTCATGTTTGGACTGTAAAACAGTACAAGCATGAGCCATATTTTTTTTTACAATGGCTATCCTAAAAAAACTGCCAATGACCTAAATGATGTAATGTTTTTTTGTACGTGTCCGCACACGAGTGGGTTTGTGTACCTGCTGGTTTAGCAAAATATCTCATGAACCACAAGACAAATTTATCACGACCCTCAAAAATCCGTAATTTTCACAAACAATTGGCAGTCGGCTGCACAGTCAATGAAACAAACCAATGTACTTTTATCACACGCCTATAGATGAGGACAGAAGACATCGATGGATAGTAGCCATCAACAGTAAGGACTGACAGCCCTCGGATTTTCCATAGGTTTGCAGCCAACAGCTTTTTACAAGGTACRAAGTTTAGCATTCATATTTGTACTTCATAATAGTGTTGGATAATACTTCAATACTGATATATGTGAAGGTAGAAAATGTTTCGATAATGGTGAACTGATAGACGTTGCACCAGTGCTCAGCGCTACCGCTCTATTTACACTATCCTACCTACAACACAGCACCAAAATGACCTGAACAGCTGTGGGTGAACAAGCGTCCACAGCTGAAAAAGAAGCAGAAGAAATAGTTGATATGAAAGAAAATACTAAATTAAGTGGTATGGATGTGGTTTGGGTATCGAAGGTGTGATGAACTTCAGCTTTCAGTCTGCTATAAAATGTGCTGAGCAGCGAAAACTCATCAAATCTGTTCCACCATCTCAAAAAGTTCCACTGGATAGAACTTTCCGAGTGTATAAAAAAGAAGCACCCTAAAAGTTTAAGCCCTCTTCCTGAAATAACCATGTCTACACTGGAAAAAACAACTTGGGGAAACAATTCACTCCAGTTATTACCCCCCTCCCTCACTTCTGACATCCGTCATTGCACCGCCACATGATTAGGTGACATATTTGCAAAGGGTCAATATCGGATGAGGCTGCACATAACATTATTTTCAAGGTTTGMTCAAAACAGCTACAAATGTTATTCCTCAACAAAAGGTGATCTTCGACTCCTGCCACAAGCATTTTCAATTTGTGGCAGGAGTCTATTTTATCTCCAAGCCAGTCGGAGGCACAGAGTGTTGCATCTGAATAAAAATCAACAAACGAGAAAACACTCTTTGCCACCTAAGCTGAATAAATAAGGTCCTTAAACAAATGGAGCTTGAAAACGGACTGGATTTCATAGTCTGCTAGTGACACACGAGTCTGAACTCCTAATGAAATTTTCTCTTGGCAATTAAMGATGCTGGAGTGAGTGATAATTTTGTGAAGTATGCCTTACAGTGTGGTGCACGCACCTTGATGGAGGTACTGCTGTCGAAGCGGAAAGACTTTGTCTGCCCGTTTTCCAGGTACACCTTCAGGACATTAGGCATGAACAGGAGAGAGTTGTCCTTCACCGGGTTCTGCCAAACGGAAATATCATCAGTGTTTCAGTTTGTTACGTAAAAGGAATTTACTGAAATTTCTCATTTCTGTGATTGTCTTGTGTATTTTTCATTCTCTGAATTCTGTCTTAAGTAGAAACCATCTGCCATTGCCTATATAGGTCATCCATAAGCATGTGTGTGTGTGTGTGTGTGTGTGTGTGTGTGTGTGTGTGTGTGTGTGGTAGGACTGACTGGAACCTGGCCGTTTATTATGACCTCCTCAGCAAAGCGCACTTTGACCGGATTGGACTTGAGCATGGCTTTTTTGGCCGCGCTGATAAACGCTGATTTAGGGGACTGAGAGGCAGTCGTCCAGAAAGAGACACACAGAGAGACACAGAGAGAGAGAGAGAGAGAGAGAGAGAGAGAGAGAGAGAGAGAGAGAGAGAGA